TTTTTCTGTGTTTTCTTTGGTCTGTCTCTCAATCCTTTGAAGATACCTTTTGAATTCCTTATCAGAGAGTTCCAATGCTGCTTCTTCCTCAGGATGAGTTCTGGGTCTCTATCCTGCTCTTTTGTTTCTACCACTTTATCTTGCTTCTTTTTGTGGACTTTGATGGTCTGTTGTCTCTGAGACATCGTGGCTTGTTATATTTAAATCTTTGTTAGCTGTTTTTGAAGAGCAGCCAAGGATTACTCAGACTCTTCTTGATGATTTTTTATCACTGGCCCATTGGTGGAGAAGGAGGTGGTGGCTCTCACTCAGTAAGTGAATTTGCAGAGGTGTGGGTGTTGTTGTGCTTTATGGGGACTGTTGCTGTCTCCCACACAGATAAAAATTACAATTGAATAATCATCAAAAAGCCAAAGCAAATGGACAAAAAATATACTGAATAATCACACAGGAAAAGTAACCAGAAAAAAAGGGAAAAGAATAAGAAAGAAGAAAAGAAAAAAGGAAAATCTGCAATATCTGGGGATAAGAGAAAAAAGGTAGAAAAGGAGAATAATGAAGAAAATACGGGAAAAATGCAAAAATAAAAACAAGGAATGTGGTTAACCATGAGAGAAAAGGGGGAAGAAAAGAAAAAATAAATTAATTAAAAAAAAAAATTAAGCCAGGAACAGGGAAAAGGAATAAAACTGAAAACTAGGACTTGTGAGTGAAAGAATAAAGAATAATAGTAAAAAAGACAAAAGTGTTAATAATAATAGTAGTTTTAAAACAGACAATTACAAGCAAACCAAACACCAGGAAAAAAGAAAGAGAAAAAGAAAAAAAATAAAGAGAAAGAAAAAAATCAGTGGAGGACACACAGGCTCCATCTGAGCACACAGACTGGGATGGAGTTCCTGAAGGCCCAGAAGGTGGGTGTTAGTGGGGGATGGCCACAATTTTGTTCACCAAGCGGGTATGGAGTATAAGAGTAACAAGAGGAATGTCACACCATTTAAGTCATCTGGATTGTACTTGGGGTTACTGGCAAGCAGAACCTATTCTTAAGCCCCTGGAATCTAGGAGAGCACTGTCTCTTTAAATATCCAAAATTATCAAGCCACTTGTAAACATTCAAAATGGCAGCATCCTCTGGACAGGCAAAAGTCCACAGCTCAGCCTGCCTTCCTGTTCACCGCTGTTTTTCTTTATATTCCCCAGCCACCAGAGCAGTCCCTTGCTAGCAGGGCTGATTTTTATGTTAATTCTTAGGTCCTACCACCACTTGGGAATCTCCAAGCTGTATGTGCTGTCAGGATCACTCAGGATCACTGCCAGACTGCAGCTCCGTATGTCCCCTTTTTTGGTATTTTCATGCAAATTCTTCTGCTAGTTGGGATTTAGTCCACTTCAATATCCTTTCCTTCAAGGCTCAGGGGTCCAGGATTATCTTCTGTGTCTGTGTTAATTGGTTTCCCTTTTCTTTATTGAAGAGGGTTTGTGCAGTCTTTCTGCCTATTCTGCCATCTTGGAATTGATCTTCCTCCTTTTTAATTTGCATCTCCTCAACTGCTGTGGGCCCACTCCCATCAGCAGCCACCAAAACTGGGTTCTCAAAAGCTTTCGAGCAGCCATCTAAGATACAACTATTAGTCTCCTCTCATCTAAATCAAAGAATGGTGAAGATAATGAAAGATATCTGGTAATAATTAGTCCAAGGATGAGATGGACCACAAGGAACTCAGTCTTCATGACCCCAAAACCAGAAGAACTAGATGGCACCAAGCTACTAATACCAACCACTCAATAAGAGATCAAAACTGGAGAGCCTTGAAAGAGTGGGAGGAAACATGTTGAACAAAATTCAAAAACAATAAAAATGACCAGAATTATTGGTCAGGTAGAAAGTGGTGGCACCCCACAAGACTATGGCCCTGAGTTATTCTTCAGGTCCTGAAATGGACTCACTTCAACAGATTGGCTCTTAGATCAACAGTAGAAAGATGTACATGCAGAACATCTATCCCAGGGCAATGCACTCACCTGCTCTAGGGAAATGCACCCCTTAGAGCAATCAGCCATGAGACACCACCAGGCCAGCATTCACATAGATGGAAACCTGGACTGACTGACAGGAATGCATAATGAAGAAGGACACAGGGGGTGGGCAATCACAGGGATTAGAGGGGAGGAAAGTTTTTTTATGATTAAGGATGGTAATGGGGTCAGGAAATCAAATGTGCTTGAAATCTTAGATATAAAACAAATTTGCTTTGTAAATTTGCACCCAAAGTACAAAAAATTAAAAAAAAAAAAAAAAAACTGACCACGTTTCCTCTCTTTGGCTTTTTGTGATAACCTCTTCAGTAGTTGTCTTTATGTTCCAGCTCCATTAAAAACCCCAGTGCCTTTTACACAGCACAGTTCTGATATACCATGTAATGTGTACTTAGACGTATGTGTTCCTAAAAAATGTGAGATATTGGAAATAAGACGTACAGACATTTAAGATGTAAGTATAAGAAGAATTAAATATATCCATGAATAACTCAAGATACAGCCAACATATTGTTAACCCAATCATAAAGAGAAGCCATTACATCTAAAGGAAGGAAAAATTCACAAGCAAACACAAAGAGTTATTCAAAATAAAGAACCATTTTTTATTGAAAATAATTTATTTCCACACCTACACGGGAAAACAAGGCCATCATAAGAGAAGATTGGAGAGTAAGGGAGTAAAGGATCACATTTGGAAAACAGACAATATCATGGAGTCACCATTAACAAAAATGTCATCCTAAGAAGGAGGTCCTAGGAGATCTTAGCCTTTATCAAGCATGTAGTTTCTTGAATCAGAGTTGTTCTATGAAGACTCATTTCAGAAGTAAGTGGTGCTTGGAGAGAGATGTTCTACCAGCAAGAAGAATAGCATCTTCTGTAGCAAAATGGCCGGTAGCCATAGCATCCAGAACCATACCCACAGCCGTAGCGGGAGCCATAGCCACAGCCATAGCCAGAACCATAGCCACAGCCATAGCCGGATCCATAGTCACAGCCATAACCAGAACCATAGCCACAGCCATAGCCAGATCCATAGCCACAGCCATAACCAGAACCATAGCCACAGCCATAGCCACAGCCACCATAGTAGTTGTAACACATGGTGTCAAGAGGTGAAGTTTCGATTGAGGTATAGGAGGGTGATTTTGATGTCTGAATGCCATCTGCTATTCCTGGACCTTTATATACTGTCAGAAAGTGGGTGGGGCACAATTAACAAAGACTATGTGGCCTCATTACTACAGCAATTTTCATTTTTAAAAAGCTCATCATGTGAAGGCCAATAATATATTCAAATGGTTAATACAGGGTCTGACACCAGCCAGTGAAGACAGCTATAAGAAGCAGATGTACCCTACAGGTTGCACAAGTATGTCTTTGGAATTTATTCAATACCTAACTTAGATTTTTCTCTTCAGAGGCATTAACTCTCCTCCTCTTCCAGCTATACATACTAGGATACTGGGAGATGGACCAGCATCTCATACCATCTCATATCAACAGTAAAACTGGCTTGGAGGCAAATAGTAAGGGCATATGGTGAAACACTCTCAGCTTATACCTGCAAGAATGTATATAAAGTCCATGCAAAATGGTCACTGCAGTAATGGCAGAAACAGGAGACAAGTCAGGCCAAGAAGATGTGATATGGTTCCAAAGGAGAGTCTCAAGTACTATACCAAAATAAACACAATCATGAGTTTGTCCAAAGTAGTATAATATAATATATTTAAGGGTCCATAGAACATACATTTTTGATATGTTACTCACTCTTTGAAATACTTTTTGAAATAGTATCCCAATGATCCTTTAAAAATCAGCTCAGGCTATATCTCCCATTAAAAGCATCCCAGGGCATTCACAATGTACATTAAGCATAATTTCTCTGTTCTTCCAGATTTCTGTGCATAACATTATTGTTGTAGAGAGCACATACATATTACATTTTAATTTTATTTTGCTTCCTTCAATTAATTGTGTTTTTTTTAAAAAAAAACAATAATTGTTTTATTTTCTGAAGAAATAATAAAAAAGGCACTAAGTGACTGTTGAATGAGAAGCTATAAGACTTTTTCAAACTATACAAGTGATACTTTTTATAGTTTGGCATTATTCTAAACAAAACAATAAACACAATAATAGCCATGAACAACATTCATACACTTGGGCATTTGACTGTGAACCAGAGGGCTGGCAGTTCAAACACACCAGTGAATCCTCAGAAGGAAGAATGGATAATCTAGTTCTGTAGAAATACCATCTCAGAAACTCAAGGAGGGATAGCTATGAGTCAAATTGACTCAAAGGCAATGACTTTTTTGTTTGTTTCTTTCTTTCATATTTATTGCTCCATTTAAATTTAGTATAACAATGTAAAGTGAGAATTTGTGGTTTTTTAATATATACACATTACAGTCAAGAAAATAGAGATAAACTGTAGTTAAGTAGCTTACTCAAGAACTGTCACATGGTCAGTGACATAGTTGAAGTGCTTCAACTGCTACTATAACATAAGAGTGCTTCCTGTTAATAATGTTTTACTTCCATATTTCAAAGGAAATATATCCCCTTAACCTGGCTAAAATTGTAAATATTTTGCAGCATCTACCTTACCCTTCCATTCCTGTAGTTTCTTTCAATTACCATCATAGTTGTAACTAACTCATGGTGCAAATATTCAGCAGCAAACTTTAGCCATCTCTCAAATATGTGTTACAACTCTCTTTAAGTACCTCATAGTGTTATAATAACTGCCCTTGTCATCCCACTGCATTCTCTACGCAGAGCCCATTCATCAACACAAATGACTAACTGACTGTTCTACATATCTTGAAAGATTATCTAAATTGGAAAAAAGGACCTTTGATCAACAACTTTCAGCATAAAGTAAAATCTCACATTTTAGACTTGCTTTTAATTGTGATTGTCTAATTTTTACAATTTCAATTTCAAGAGACACTCCACAGGAGAATGATGAGATAGTCTTCTTCCATAAAGATTTACAGCCTTGGAAACTTTATGGGGATTGCTATGAGTTGGAATCATCTTGATCACAGTGAGTTTGGTTTATTTTCAGTAACTTTTACAATACTTTTTACCAAAATACATTCAATATGAGCTTTATTCTCTAAACTCTATGGTGCTTCCCAGATTTCACATTTCAGCTGGTTTCTCCTCAAAACAGTTTAGCAGACAATATTTTCTCATATATTTCCATTGATTTCTTTTCTTGAATGACTGAATGGTACAATTTAATTTGAAGAGAGCAATTGAGGACATTATGCAAGAAATGTGCCACTACATAAAATATTGGATAAATAAAATGTGATCTAGATTCCAAAGGTAAACTCTGTGCTTTAGAAACTCTCCAGTGATACTGAATCACTATTTCCTTTGGACCAGTCCTCTTTCTTTCATCACAAGTTCCATAAAAGAACAGAGTTTATTCTATCTCTCCATTTCTTTACTCATTGATTTCTGAATTTACTATCATAAATGTCACATTCACTATCAAAATATCTGTTACTACATAAGCAACCATACCTCTGCCAACTACAATGTTACCAACTAAGTAATTCATACATGAGGAGCTCCTGATAAAGAGAAAAGCAGAACCAAATCATCAGAAGAGAGGTTACTCTATTAATATTTACTTATTTGTGACTAAATATGCAATGACAAACTTTTCAGTGTACTTGCTATGACTGTGTATCCTAAAGTTCATACTATGACATATATCAGACCATGTTTCACTGCTATTCATATGGTTTTCACTGGCCAATTCTTTGACAAGAGGCAAGGAGCTCCACGGAAACCTGTCCACTATGAGTGACCCTGATGGTATTTGAATAGTTGTGGCAAAGCCTCCAGTGTAATAGCAACAACTAAGCCACCAAAGTGTCACAAACTGAGATGATTATTTATGTTCTACTGACAATGCAAAAGTATTCAACTTTGTGGATCATAACATTATGGATAACATTCAGAAGAATGGGAATTCCAGAACACTTATTGTACTCATGAGGAACCTATATACAGATCAGGAGGCTGTAATTCAAATAGAAAAAGGGGTTACACTGCATGGTTTAAAATCAGGAAAAGTGTGCATAAAGGTTATATCCTTTCACCTTACTTATACAGTCAGTATGCTGAAAAAATGATGCAGGAAGCTGGACTATATGAAGAAGAATGCAGCATCAGGATTAGAGGAAGACTCATTAACAACCTGTGATATGCAAAAGACACAACCTTGCTTGCTGAAAGAGAAGATGACTTGAAACACTTACTGATGGTGATTGAAGACTACAATCTGCAGTATGGATTATACCTCAACATAAAGGAAACTAAAATCCTCACAACTGGACCAATAAGCAGCATCACAATGAATGGAGAAAAAACTGACAATGGTAAAGATTTCATATTATTTTGATCCACAATCAATAGAAATGGAAGCAACTGTCAAGGAATCAAATGCTGTATTGCACTGGGCAAATATGCTGCAAAAAAACCTCTTTAAAATGCTGAAGAGCAAAGATGTCTCTTTGTACACTAAGGTGTGCCTAACCAATCCATGGTATTTTCAATCACCTCATATGGATGTGAAAGCCAGATAATGAATAAAGAATACTAAAGAAGAGTTGATGCTATTGAGATGTGGTATTAGAGAAGAATATTGAAAGAACCATGAACGGCAGAAGAACGAACAAATCTATCTGGAAATAAGCACAGTAGGAATGCTCTGGGGAAGCTAGAATGGACAGATTTGGTTTTACCTACTTTGGTCATGTAGTCAGAAGGGACCGTTCCCTGGAGAAAGATATCATGCTTCTTAAAATAGAGGGCTAGCAATAAAACAATAAATCCGAGAAGCTGGACTATATGAAGAAAAACGTGGTATCAGGATTGGAGGAAGAATCATTAACAACCTGAGATATGCAGACGATACAACTTTGCTTGCTGAAAGTAAGGATGACTTAAGGCACCTACTGATGAAGGTTGAAGAATACAGTCTGCAGTATGGATTATGTCTCAATATAAAGAAAACAAAAATCCTCACAACTGGACCAATGAGCAGCATCACAATAAATGGAGAGAAGATTGAGGTTGTCAAAGAATTCATGTTGCTTGGTTCTATAATCGATGCCAACGGAAACAGCAGTCAGGACATTAGACGATGTGTAGCATTGGGAAAGTCAACTGCGAAGGAACTGTATCAAGTTCTGAGGAGCAAGGATATCTCCTTGAGGACTAAGGTGCGCCTGACACAAGCCATGATATTTCCAATCGCCTCATATGCATGTGGGAGCTGGACAATGAATAAGGAAGACCGAAGAAGAGTTGATGCTTTTGAGTTGTGGTGCTGGTGAAGAATGCTGAAAGTACCATGGACTGCTAAAAGAACTAACAGATCTGTCCTGGAGGAAGTGCAGCCAGAATGCTCCTTGGAAGCAAGAATGGCCAGACTTTGTCTCCCCTATTTTGGTCATGTTGTAAGAAGGGACCATTCCCTGGAGAAGGATGTCATGCTTGGTAGGGTGGAGGGTCGACGAAAGAGGGGGAGGCCTTCAGGGAGATGGATTGACACGGTGGCTGGGATGATGGGCTCAGGTATAGCAGGGATTGTGGGCTGGAGTGGGATCAGGCAATGTTTCGTTCTGCTATGCATGGGGTCTCTATGAGTCACAAACGACTCGACGGCACTTAACAACAACAACAACAGCAATAATGGGGAACACCCTCAAGGAGATGGATTGATACAGTGGCTGCAACAATGGCTCAAGTATAGTAGATACAGTGAGAATAGCTCAGGACAGGGGAGTTTTCGCTCTGTTGTACATAGGGTCACTACGAATGAGAGCCACTTTTATGGCAGCTGACAACAACAAAATTATGGCAAAGATGTGTCAGGGATGTAGGAAATGAATAGCTTATGAATGTGCCTACATTTGAGATATAAGAGATTGAGATTATTGATTAAAATTCTAGGATGTCAAAGTACTATCATTATTAGTCACCAAGACATAATAAGTTGAAACACATGACATTTTTATATGCTGAAAACAGTTAACTATCAACAATTTCATAGTGAGCAATCCAATAAT